CTTTCCCTCTCCTCCTCTTCTGTAGAACATCCTGCTGTATGTCACTTTCTCATAAACGTGCTCCTGCCTCTAAATTGCTAGCTGCTTTGAGGGAGTCCAGTGTTCCCCTTTCTCCGAGAGGCACTTAGCCAACTCCCAGGATCCCTCTGCTCCCACCCAGCCATCTCTCTCAGACAACCATGTCTTTTTTTCCTTCCTTTCCTCTCGCAGACCTGGATTTCTTGGCTCTTCTTTTTTCCCCAAATAGGTCTCCAGGCTGTTCCTGCAGCTAGCAGCAGAGGAGCTGAGAGCACCATCAGAGGGGTCCAGTGTCCCCTGAGAGCTAATGAGTGACTATCATTTGGGAGCTGCTGCTATTCAGGCTGTTAGACTATGAGCAGCTCTTGAGCAAAAGCATTATTATCTGCAGTCAGTGCATTTCAAAAAGCTGCATCCCATGGGTTAAGACCACACAATACAAACAGCACTACTCTCCTAATGGTAGTCCTGCTTGCTTCAAAATGTTTTCATTCAGCCTTGTCCTATACATGGTTCGGGTTAGTGAGATGCAGATGGAAACTCAGGAACCAACTTCCTTCATAACACTAGACTGATTGTTAAATTCCAGCTATGAGCAGCAGTAGCATAGAAATAGAAGACTTCTTATTTAAAAGCAACGGCAACACCTCTGACTTGCTACCCACCTCACGGACAGAAACACACAGGACACTTCAACTCACATGCTAGGATAAAAACGAAGCCAGTGGTTTTGAGTCTTACCTTTGTTCATCCATGTGTGAGCAGTATAGTGACGCTCGTCGTGTGAGAATGTACTGATTCCATGTAATTGCTGAAGCATTGCCCGTCTGGAAATGTAACCTACTGCCACAAAATCGCATGCATTGCAAAAGGACAAGAACAATTGAGCCAACCGTCATCATGACATTTATACGAAAGCAGCCCTGAGCAGTTATTGCCCTAGCTCTTTCCTTACGTGACAGAGCTGTCCCACTGCAGTGCGCTGCTGTCTAGAAGAAGATTTAATTTAGGGTTTGGGGGGGTTCTGAGAATTTAAAAGATAATTTGAAGAAATGATTCCATGTATTTCAATTATTGTCACCTTTACAGAGCACTTACAGAGGGGTTTTTTTTTTTTTAAACTTCCTTTTGTTCAGTGGAAATAAAACTGGAATTTCCCCTATGGAACTAAAAAAAAAAAAAAAAAAAGAGGAAGGAGGATACTAATGAAAATATTTATGCCACTGACGTGTGCATCTTCAGGGGGATGTTCTGACTTTTCTATTCTCAGTTGCACCAAAAGCTTTGTAAGGGGAACACATCCTCACATCTCTTTGGAGATGTCATTGTGATTATTTTAAAATAATGGATTTAGTACTCACACAGAAGCATAAAGTCATTTTCTTCTTGAAGTTAGGAATCATGAAAGTAAAAGTATTGCTTGTTGTGAGGAATGAAGGAGAACTACCAGTGACAAAGATCAACATTTTCACTACAAATGTTTGCATTCACTTCTGCAGAGTTTTGCAACTGAGTAGTCAATATGTCTTGGATGCTATTTATAGGTCCTTTCCTAGTTTTAACATACCGAGTAACTGATCTGCTTATAAACTGTATACAAAAATCAATGTTTTTTGATGTGGATATTGTTACATTCTGGAAACAAAGTTAAATGGTTTATATTCTCCTCTCTTGGAGCTTTCTGAAAGTTTTAATCCCAAATATCAGACCTAACAGAA